TTGCAAAACTTTTCATATATACATTAAATATAATATATGAAACAGAATCATGAACATATATTACTTATAAGCGATGCTCCGAAGTCAGATTTCCGTTCCCGATGTACAGGAAATGGCCTGATATATGTACTCTCATAAATCACATATCTTTTTGCAATGCTGATAATAATCGATATGGTAAAATTTAAACATGTATTCTTAATCATCATTAAGTTTTTAAAGACAATATATATTTAAGAAGCAAAATATAAATATATGAAGAAAATATATATATGTACATAAATACAGGAAACTCTTTATTTCAGTAATTTTAGCCATCTGGTGATATTAGAATTTAGTATAAATTAAGCAATGATATACATTTAGGACCTTATTGCGTATAAAATAAAGTCTAATTTAATATTTTAATGGGCAGCTTCTGTAATATGACAATTCGATTCGCATATGGCAAAGGGATTAGTACCGCATGTGTCCCGGAAAATATCGTTATTATTTCACCGATATTGATATAATTACTTATTATTAAATATTAGTGGTGGGTGGGATTACAGAATAATGGATTTCGGTTATAAAATGTATTTGGTTCTGTCGTATAAGATTTTATATTTAAATCGTTTTGTTAATTAAACGAAGCTTTCAAAGGTATTTATGGTGACAAGATATATAATATGTATATATGTTTATAAAATTTTTATTTATAATACAATAAAAATTTAATGTACATAAGTCCATGTTAACCTACTCATATTTTTTTTATACATAATTCATATAATAAAACATTATGATCCATAATAATTTGACTTATAAAATGATTGATTCTAAACATTTTAAAGTAACAATTAGCGTTGAATACGAAGGTAACTTTCTTTAATATTATAATATGTAGTTCCCGTATAGTGCAAACATTTCTGTTCATTGGTATTTTACGTCAATATATCTTCTTAGAATGATAAAAAATTAATAAACGACCATAAATCTCTTCACGAGGTGCCGAAACATAGGCCCATGTCTCATGAAAAAAATTGCTCTCTTTGCTATTATTTCTTATATTCAGGCTTCAATATTATTCATATTAAAGTGTATAATATTCACGTTCTTAAATATGTACAGATATTTGAAATATCTCTGTGTAGTTATTACTGAGTAATATATTAAAGGAGATGACAGTGCTGTCTAACAATGGCATGGTGTATTAGTGGAAGCCATAATTTACTGGATACACGTTGAAATGTTCATAACACAGACATGCTAACATTAATTATTAACATTTATTTACCTTTTTAATAACATCAAAATATATAAGCCAGTGATACTCAATAAAATTATAATCTTTAATGAAAATATCTTATGGTTTAGCTATTGGATTGTGAATGAATGAATGAACAGTTGAACGACTAATCAAATTCTATGTTCATATCTATGTAGTTGTATTTTGTGTGTGTGTGAGCAATATTACCTAGAATATTTTTAATATCATATATGTTATGAAAAAGGTAATTGAAATAATATATAAAAGTGATTTTTCTCTAAATGAGATAAACCGGAAATTACACATCAAAAATGTCAACGTACAAATGAAAAGAATATATATGCCACGTATTAATAAACGAATCTGTGTGTGACGTGCAGTTCATTGTAGGAAATTAAATGTCGAAAAGATACATTAAAAATGTGCCTTGAGTTTTAAATGGTATATGTTATACGTCGTCTTCAAATGAAGTAAAATAAATGATAAATATATGGAAAGTAATTGAATGGAGTATATATGTATTGTTAATTAATGGATTATAATTGATAAGGATTTCCTAAAGAATGCTTGGTTCATCCCATTGTTTACACTACTGATATACAGTACATAAACGTTGAACTGAAGATTCTGTAAATGTATATCTTTTCACACAAAAACTATGAAACAAATAATTAAGTTTTAGATACTGCGCTTGAATAGTATCACATTTTGTTTCATTAAGTCTCAAGTATTGAAGACTCATATTAAACTCAAAGAAAAAAAAAAATAGAAAAATTCATTGCGATATAAACAAACAAGTAAATGCACATTATATTTGTTTTCAATAAAAATTAAAATTTATAATAGAATTATACAAAGAAACCTTATACTGTAGGACATTTGATACCCGTTCATGACGACATTACAAAACAAAAGATTCCCCTCTCTAAATTAGTTGGTACCTATTTTAATCGGGAATGCAAATCGAGGGAGATAAAGTTCGAATTCTTAAAAAAAGGAAGTATTTATTTCTCTTAATTTTAAGGGAGATAAATTAAATTACGACGATGCCTTATAAAGACTTCAATCGAGTCTCATTGGTTTTATAATATATGTAGTTTATTTGAATAGGTATTAGTTTTGTGAATTTTCTAAAAATCATATTAAAATCTGTACGGGCTCGGTAACCGATATCAGTGGTCGAATTTAAACGTGTACGCTATCAATCATACCCAATGTCTCCCACAATTTATCTTCCAACCCGTATATTAAAAGGAAAACGAATTTACAGGCCGCCACTCATGAGAATACTGAAAATATATCAAACAAAAATAATCCGTATTGTGTTTTCACAGACACCAGAATGGCATGAGAATTCTGAAGTTTTTCTATTGTTACCAGAAAAATCTGCCGGTTCGTGCGAGAATAATTCATGTTATGATACAACAGCGGAAAAATGTTGGTTTTTGTTATGCTTATTAAGGTTTCTGTGGATTAGTTGACGTAGGATTGTCAGTGCATGTCGTGAAATATACGAAAAGAGCCACAGACGACTTTGTGATACTACACTGGGAAATTTTTACAAAACAGCTTGGCATTATTCAGTAGCTCTGAAACTTAAACGTAAATAAGTTTAGCGCTTGTTTTATAAGTTACGTAAAAATTATTTTGTAATTGACACTGACGGCTTGTTCACAACAAAATATATGCTCTTTGAAACTCTAGCTTTGTTATGTTTCTATAAAACATTCATATTACATAAGATACATAACATTGAACAATTCTTTTTTATTATTTATAGTATTTAGTAAAAATCGGATAATCCCTTTACAACGATAATCGTTAAATCACAAAAAAAAAATCATCCAAATCAAGAGTATTTTAAAACACTTCCATCTAAATAATTTTAAAATAACATCAAAATCGTCAAAACAAAAAACCCTGAGCCGAACAACTGGTTTTATTCATTTATGCGTTCTGTTAAGGGATAGCAAAAACGAAACAATGGGAATCTAAATTGAACTCTGCTCTGTGACAGCGTAGCCACAGCTCAGAGGCATTTATTGGACTATCAATCAAATTCGTCTGCACTCAACATTCATCTTCCCCTTAAATTGTAGGGTCGCTTGTCATTTATTCGATTCCGGTAATCGAAATGATTGCAGAACTGACGTCGATGGACTATGATGACTGTATTTGAGATATCTATAAATTTTATTGTTATGAACTACTCACTAACCTATGGAGATTTTTCAGAAGCGCATCGGAGGTTAAGGAAGAAATAAAGCAGATTGTTCCTATAAGGGAATGATTGATCAAATCAAACAATAGTGATAAATGATATACAAGCAGGCAGTGAACACATTTTTGTGCAAATTTCATATTGATATGACATGGAGGTATTTGTTTGTGTCATAAAATTGGAACCGTATCGATTGATACGCATTCGCAATTCAATTTCGAAACGAATGGGACATAGAATTATTCATGTTGAATCGATTACGACGAAGGGTCTTCAACCACACGATTGTATTTTGATGTATAGTTATTTGTAGCTCCTTTGCACATATTTTAAAATTGATTTAGACATAACAAATAAATGTCGTTCCTGATAATCGACATAAACGTTCCCGTATAGGAATACGTACGATGATACTTACGTAGTGCATTTAATTATCTAGATAGCATAAAATTGGAAATGAATGAATATTAGCATCGTCAAAGGAGTAAAACCGGTACAATAAAACTAAAAGTAGAATATATGCAAATGGCATCCGCAATCCTTTATCACCCTGTATATTTATATAGCTAGTTGGGTTTAACATTTCAACTGCACAGTTAGATGCAACCCGCATACTTAACGATCACTTTGCATATGATTATTGTGTATTAGGTACTCGGATACCAAGATGGCAGCAGTTACTCTTGATATTGTATATCATACTGAGGTTAAAATCAAATAAGATATATAAATCATAAAATCAAATAACAATTCTAGGTAATTAAATAAAGCTAGACAAATTAGCTAGGAAAATTAGTTTCATTTCAAAAAACTTCCATATTTTTTTTTATCATTTTTAATTGCGTACAACTGTAATATAGATAAAAATCCTAAAATATATTTAATAAGATCATATAGAAAAAATATTACAAACTTATTAGTTATAAGCAACTATACATCAATAAGAAAATGCAATTCAATAGCGAAATAATGATAGAAGCGTATAGCATTAAGAAATAAATAAACCGTTTGTATTCTGACAATAAACACATTAGTGTCTTCAGTATTAATGCGGCGCGTCGCAACATGACTTAGTACGCGTTTGTGTATGAGCCTTACTATAAACCTGTCTTGGGTCTAAATTCTGCTTACATTCAAATACACGAACCATCGTGCCTTGCATTTTGTTGGAAGTTTACTGTTGTCTGTTTATATTTACTCGACAGTGGAGTTTTCGTTACCTGGAGCTGTATAGACTATGTTTTATAAGTACGATCAAAAGTAACAACGTTTCATGGCTTGAGATATCAATGTGAACTGTCGATATTTATTTGATTAGTTCAAAATATTGTTTTAAAATAAAAATGTTCTTTATAAAAAATTCTCTTTGAGTATGAGCTCTGATAATACCTCTCAATTATTTAATAAGTTAATATGTAAGCATTTAAAAATGTTGTATAAGTTGAAACGTCCATTTCTAAGTTGTAATTTAGTAGCTCGAAGCGGCAGTTATTATTTCAAGTATGACTACATGTTTGAAGTGCAGACAATTCATTTTTCAACAGCCACGCCGCGCTCCTGCGACTTGGAAGTTTCCACGAAGTCGCCGGAAAGTTTTGATATTCGCATCCGTTGGTCCGACCCGTCTCGGTTAAATTCTGTAATTCCACGGCGGGTTTTGAGAAAACTTCATATATCTTTACGACCAACCGAATTTCTAAACTTAAATAAAGTTTTGATTCCTATAGCTCTTTATTGATATGTGACGTCATTGATATTTTAGTGTCAGTCTTACCACTATACTTGTTTATATAATAGTAGTTTTTGATAAAATTTTGTTCTATGAAAATATGTAGACTTAGTTTTTCTTAGGGATAAATCGTATATAAATCTATCCTGATTGGTATGCTTGATAATCCAGTGAAACCGAAAAAGTTCATTCACGATATAATGGAATTACCAGGCTTCATACCATCATCTTGCTCGTTTCGATGCATGCTGTAATTTAATCCACGAGAATATATCTCAGAACCGCAGTGACGGAAGTCTGTGGGGTAACGTCTAGAGAACTCACACGGAGGTATTTTAGGATACGCATTGTTCCCCATACATAATACTCTTTTTGTTCTACGGTTTCCCATTTCGTGGGTAATTAGGGATGAATGAATTGAAAAAACTATATATTTTTGTTAAGTAATTTTTTCAAACATCAATACACGATTTGTATGAAATCATGAGATGTGATTTTTCTTTGTTGACACTTTATATAATAGTAAAAGTTAGTGCAAACGACTTTGTTGCATGCTGGTAGATGGTCGCAATAAAATCAATTTATATCACGCTATAGTAGTTTGTGTGTTTTACACTTAGATGTTTTGTTCCCTTCCATATCATTGTATGACAGAGTTGGGTATTTCGTTGTTTTGATAACGCAATATATTCCTTTGAAGATCACACGTCTAATTACGGTCTAGTAATTAATTTACGCTCTCCTGGTTTCTGTAGCAACTTGGTATGTGAATTCAAGTGAATAACATCTGTTGCTCGTTCTATTTCCATTTCGCTCTAGTTTTTCATAGATGCTCTAATATCATAGTTTACTAATGAAGAGGCTATATTTTGTTCAGTATATATTTCAAGTCGAACTTTATAAGAGCGCTCCTATAAAAATATGTATGAATAAATTTTTAAGATTATATTAGAGCTGTAAATTGATACAAATTTAAAATATTTTCTGGTTTAGGAACATCGTTACCCACATATGGCGCATTGTTGAATAATGGAATAAGCGCCAGCGAATATTCTCCTAGGACTCTGAATTTACTCGGATCTAGAAATATTAGATTTAACCCAACAGAAACAAACATTCTCACCTAAACTTTGTTCTGAGGAACGATTTCTTGAATTTAACTATGTAGTGAGCAAGTAAATATATATCTACATATATATTTATGGATAACCGAACATAGCATAGTTGTAATACAGGCTGTAACAAAATAGTGCCGGTAACCACAATGGCATAAAAGCAAAAAGCCAATATGGCATATACGTACATATTTGTCTGCGGTGTTCGTTGTGAAGCTTATTACTTAATATAGCTTACATGTATAAGCAATACCTGTTCAATTGTGCCTGTTTTGAACGTATATCCACTTCATTATAATAAAGTTTATACTAACCAAAATATAATTCAAAAACTATTCAGTTTCTTGCAAAAATAATAAAACTTCTTTAACTTTTACATTGTAATGTGCCATCGCTTTATTTTCTAGTAAAGCCATGGCTTACAAGCGATTACAAAGTTGTTACGCAAAATAGACTTCAAACGAAAAACAGATCGATAAAATATACAATTTGAAACTTTAAATGAAAATTTGAGCTCCCACGTAAAGGAACAAAGGCGATAAGGTAAAAGTGGCGACACTGTATTGAACTTGGTGAAACTTAACTTATTATTTTTATTTATTCAGCGGTATTAAAGTTTAATTATTATTGTATTGTGTTATTATAATAATAACTTTATATAAGTATAATAAAATTCAAATTTGAATGTCGATGTGTCTGAAATATTTTATGTTATTTCTCAGCGCGGTTTCGACTTGAGCGGTCTTTTAAAATTCGTATTTACTGTCCTTTCGCATGGAAATCGTGTTTAGGAGCCTTCGTATGTTCACTTTATATTTGAATACATATTTATGTGACTTAGTGGCGTGTGATGAGTTGCAGCTTTGTAACCTGACTGTTTTAAAGCAAAATATTATTTAAAATAATAACATTCAGTATATGAACAATACATAGATATTTAATAATATAATTTCATCACGTCTCCAAATAAGCGAATCTATAAAAGGGACACAATTGTATTTCAAAAGCATTATCTTTAGGCTATAGTTAATATCTTAAGAAACAAACCGGATCAAGTTTCTAAATCAGTGTAACCATGCGTTGAAGTTCACCGAACTAATCCGGTTTCTATACCAGTTTACCCCAGTTGTGATGCGGTTCGAGGCGGACCGTACGGTTTTGACCGGTTTTAGCCGGTTTTAGCCGGCCCAGCCTAGTTATATGCCTTAGTAACCGCAAGTTTTAATTCATGTTATCTGTTTTATACAATACGCACAAGTATAAACTTAGTACGAAATATATTTGGAATAACAAACTTTATTATTGAATTCAAAACATCGCGTCTTAATATCAAATTTATGGCCAAATATCTCAGTTAGTAGCGAAGTTTTGAAATACATTATCAATAGCATCCGTAGTGGCCATTCGAAATTACCCGACTTAGTTTACTGGACTATCTGAAATCCGACTATGATAAATTAAACTGCTCTGACAGCTGATGTTTATACAATACACTCAAGTTTAAGTTTTGTCAGATAAAGTATAGTTTGTTACGGAGCGGTCGGATATATAGGGTTGACAAATTATATTATATATATAGGGTTGGCAAACGTATTTTATTTATAACGTTAGCTATTGCTAGCATCGATATCTCAGACCGGCTAAGTCTATCGAACCACTTATATACTATTAGATTGTAAATTTGATCCACAACTCATTAGTCGGATCAATGATTACTTCACTAATATACAGATTACACTAACAATTAAGATTAATAATTTTCCTACCGTATTAGGTAAGTTGATATTATAAGGATATTTTACATTAATACACATAACTTCTAATAAAATAAAGTTTTGAGAAAAAATATACAATCAAATACATCTTTATATACACAACATAATTCTGTTTGTTTAAAAAATAATCTTTTAAAAAATTAATTCTATGTAAATTACATAGGATCAGTGTTTTTTGAGCATTTGAGCAAACTTTTCGATATTAATTTTAAAGACTTTAAACATAATTTATCAACTTATATATATTTAATTATTTTCTTTCCAATGTGCACGCAGCCTTACATCAAACTTCTCACCGGTAACTATTAAATTCGAAACTATAATCTCAACGTATCCACATTTAGCAGGACCGAGAACTAATTGCTTCGTGGCCTGTAATTTAAGCACGGCGTCCTACAATCATTCCCTGATTATCTCACTTTGATATCCAGTTTGCGAATTTTTTTTGTTCTGCTTATCGTGATATCGATAAAAACACCGGAAGATTGTCAATAATTACGCATAGTTTTTTTTTTGTATGAGATAAAAATAAAATTTTAATTCACTAGAACAATAGTATAATAGCACTAATGTATTAAATTATTCATAATTTTAAAGTTAAACCTTCGTTGGTAAATTATGCAGACTTAAATATAGCAAAGAGTATTTATAAATTAAATGGATCAAATTGAATTATTAAAAACTTATACCTAATGAATAATCGATTGATTATAATAAATATCAACTAAATTTAAATATATACTGCGACTACTAATACTATCAACTAAGATATTAAAAAAATATGTACTTAAAGTATGAACCTCGCCCAAAAATGCTGTTTAAATATCATTCAAGGGCATAAACACATTACGTAGGAATTATCCGAGCCTCGCCCTTGACGTCAGTTAGGGCAAATTAAGGGGAGATTGATAAGACAAGTGAATCCTCCGAAGAACGTCTTAGCAATACTATCAATAACAGTATTCTCTTGGGATTTTATTAAGTATAAACTTGATAAACAAGTCTAAGTTAAAATTAAAAGTATAAGGAATAATTGATGTTATAAGTTTCATTAAATAAATGATTATTGACCTTTATATAAAGAACAAAGAAAAGAAAGTTATTAATACAAAGGTAATATTGATTTTACCATAACTTTAATATGAATCTAGATTAATTATTCTATGTCTAGACGGGCTAGTTAATGACTGAATGCCATTACTTTCACATTTTCTGGTTATTCTCCGAGTAGGGCTTTTAAGTTAAATAATTTCAATATTGTTCAACAAGAATCGTCGCTCCATCGAACACTAAAAGGTGTAATTCACTAAAATTTTGCTACATCATAATTTTTGTGCAGTATAAAAGATTTAAGACGCGAAAACTTCAACAAATACTTATATTAAGTATATTATTCGATATTATTATCTATAATTCAATTAAATAGAAGAGGTATTCTATGATTTACGGTTTTATTTAATTTGAGGTATATCTGTACATGTATAAAGGTGTTTATTTTTAATAAAAAACGAAGTGTTTTAAGAAAATTTCAGACTTCACTTATTGAAGTATAAAACATAAGATTTTTTCAAAACAAATGTATTTTATTGAAACATATTCCCAAAACGAATGCTTAATAAATATTTTAAAACACCTATCTATGAACACCGTTCTCAGTTCAGTTTAACCACACATCACATGTTTTTAAAATATAAATATTTCGAGTAACAATTGTACAATTGCGAAACACTTTTATTAAGCTCCATACGTTACTGTCACAACAAAGTAAATGATGGCTGCACCGCTAAGGTTCTCAAGATATCCGTGGAAATTCGGAGAAATCCACGAACAGCCATGTTGAATTTCAAGTAGACGAAGGTTTAAAGAAGTTTAGAAAACAAAAGGCGAAGAAAACGCTTTATACTTTTATGTATTTTTTTTTCTTTTCATTAAAGACATTCTCAGCGTTGTAACAGAGTCTGAGAATTTATGGCACTTTATGACGTTATTTGGCAAAAAATATGACGTTGAATCAAATTGATTTTTATTCAATTTAAATTTAGGTATTTTCATCTATATTTATCGTGAGACTGATCTTATAATTAAATAGTCTTTGAAGTGTAATTGTACAGACATTTAAAACGAATTAATTAAATAACATTCTAAAAATAGTATTTAATATATAGGCAGTGTAATCGTCTTTAGAATTGTCATTATTTAATCTCAAGTTTTATCAACGTTCGAGTGGATCCTAAACTTGATTTTCTACCTGAATGCCTCTAATATAATACTGTTTATTTTAGTTCTGTATAGGAAACGGGCAAAGCTGACAGATCTCCAAGGCATAGTAAAGTTCAATTCAGATGTTTTATTTCTAGATGAATATTTGTAGCTTTGTAAAGACGGAACATTCTTCTTGTTTATAGACTAGTTGTTTGAAATGTATAGTATATATAAAATATTGGATGTGATAAAAAAAAATGAAATATATGAATGAAAACCACTCAAATAAAATAAAGTTT